GCTGCATTCAAAAATGAATTTTTAAGATTTTGCAGGAGATCTATTTCCTATAAATTAGGTGCCATCAATCATTTCATAAAGTTGGCATCTGAAAAATGTTACTGTCTTGTAAGTTATAATGTATTTTTGCAATCTTATATTTCAACAGTCACATTCTTATTAAAGAAACTACTGATGTAGTTCACAAATTGGAATAGTTGTACAACTAATGTGGTAGGTGGAATCTGACACTAAACTGAAAGATAATTACTCAAATGTTAAAGTTTTCTTTTAAAATGACTTGAAAAATCTCTTTAATGAGGGGAAATGTTAGCATATATATTACTTTTGGATATTAAATAATAAATTATAAACATTGCTAAGTAAATAGAGATATGGTTCGCTTTGCCTACCTGCTTCAAAAATATTTTTTCAGTAAAGACAGATATAGATATTTATACATCATTCTTTATACACAAACATCTTACAAAGTTAGTGAAAGTTTGAGAAGGTGTGTGAATTTTAAAACGTATATAACTGTTGCACTTGTTGAGGAATTGAGCTCAACAAAATTTTGTAATACATTCTTCATTGTTCATTAATATTGCAAATATTCTTATTGAAAGTTGAAAATATAAATATGGAAACTCTGTTCATTCTAGCACTTATAATTTATTTTCAGCAAAGTATGGTAGAGACAGAATATGCTAACATTCTTCTCCAAAATGTATTTTGAGTCATTGTGAAAATGTTAATGGATTGTTGATCATCCATGTAATATTACATTCTTAATGTGTGATATGTTGTTGCATTGATATTCTAAAATGTGGGGCGAACAATCTGAGCATAATCAAGTCAGCTTGGAAATTTATTTGTTTTTTATTTGCTTTGGATGCTGTTTAATACTAAAATGACACCAAGCAGCTTCCAATTTAAAAACAGAAAAACAATAAAGATGAACAATAAATAAAAATTGTAACATTTTCAAATAACAATATTAAAAAACCACCAACAGGGCTTCATATCCATTGTATTCAAAAATCTGAGAGAATAGCCACATTTCTAAAGAACATAATTAGAATGGGAGCCATCTGGATTTGTGGGGAGATATTTCCGAGGGTAGGTTCATAACAAAAAAGATGTTTCCTGGGTCTGATAGATTGTTGAATTGAAGTACATAAACTTTGCTTGATCTTATGGATAGATTGAAACCATAGGAGAAAACTATACTTGCAGGGGTACAAACTTCATTTTAAAAATGCTTAGGTTCACAGATAGCGATTTAAATGCTGGACCAACTGTTCTTGATTTTGTAAAGATCATAGTGCAGTAACAGAGCAAATATTTAATGTGTAAAAGACTTCAGTTCAGGTTAAAGGATTACTGATAACAAAGCTGGGAAAGAGTAATAATGTAACCAACAGATTAACTGTAAACACTAGTTTCATATTTTAATTTTCAAAATTATCATGGCTTGGAGCCAGGTTACTTAATGGACTGGCTTCTCCCAGTCATTTCTAGCCATCCAATTCGGTAACCAACCAAATCCAGTAGGTTAGGTATGTTATGGGTGCTGTCAGCCATGGAATGCTGACTGGCAGGGACTAGGAGATCTGCCTTCTTTGCCGCAGCCCCTGTCTTCTGGAATAAATTCCCTTCAGGGATTAGGTTTGCTTTCCTAAGGCCGTGAAAACCTGGTTATGTGCCCAGGCCCAGGGGCCCAAGTGTATTAAAGTGTTAAAGAGTGTTAAAGAATATTTTTAAAGTATCTTTATGATATATACCACCCAGTCACTTGTTGAGATGTTTGGCTATAGAAATAAAATAAAATGAATAAATAAATATGCTGTTTTATAATAGAAGAGCTACAATGGGGTTTAAAAATTTGGGAAATATTTTGAATTTTTTGTATAAATATGACCTAAAACATGTTCCACACCCAAGTCCTAAATCTACATGAAAAGGACCCAGTTAAGTAAACGAGTAAAAATATACTTGTTTATTCACTGTGGAAAATTATCCAAAGTTAACAGATAACAGATCACATTTTAGACCACACAGGTAGTCTTTTACTTAGAACCATAATTGAACCCAGAATTATGGTTGTAAGTTGTTGTGGTCATAAGTTGAGGCATTACATGACAAGACAATTTTTTTGACATTTTTCTGTCAGCTTCTAAGCAAGCACCACAGTCATTAAGCAAATTAATTTCCACCAATGAATTTTTCCCTCCAAAATGGGCAAAAAAGTCACCATAATTGTAGTCATGTAATCACTGAATGCTGCTAATGGCTATAAAGGTAAGAGAGAAGCCAAAATAATAATGACATGACTGCGGGTGGTAGTGGTGCAGCACCGTATCTTCAAAACCGAGTTATAAGTAGCTTTGGGGAAGTTTGTTGTAACTTTTATTGCTTCCTTCTTGGTTTTCCACCCCTAACAATCTAAATCTTCCTTTTAAAAGTATAATCTGGTCCTTCATGCTGCTAAATAATTGTTTAAGCCTCATTGTTTGAAATCCAAACATATTGCAAGGTACAAATTTAGAGGGGGGTGACAACAAACCACATTTAGATGGTGTCGTTACTTAGGAATCCTGGCTTCTTTTAATCATTGCTTATGTTTGAACACCAAAGCCTAATTTCTTTTTGTTTTTGTGCCCAAACCAATGTAAGTTTTTGATTAACAGGATGCCAAACAGCAAAAAAAAAAAATGTTTATGTTGTGATTAAATTGTGTTCTTTTACTTTCTCCCAACTCCTCACTTCCTTAGGGTATAATTAATGCTTCCATGCCCCAACCTTCTTTGACTAGAAGGTAAAAGTCTCCAAATGTCAGAGCATATACTTGCTTCTATATAGCACAGTATAGAACAAAGCACAAAAAATGTAGAACTTTCAATGAAAACTTTTTATAAGCACACACAAATCCTCTCCTGCACCCTGTCCAGAGAAAGATATCTGCAAACATAACAAAAACCAGTTACAATTGTGCAATTGAATAAACATTAAGCAAATTTTGCCTCTTTACTTCAGCCTTCTCGCGGACTGCTAGTACAGACTCTACTGTATGTAACCTCAGTTTATAATATAAGATTAAATCTTAGCATATATATTCATTGGTGGTATGCAAAAATAATGTGGATTGGATACTATTTTCTTCATGACATAGAGAAGTGAGAAGAGAAAAAAACAGTTACCAGTTTCTAATTCAGTACACTGAGGTGAAGGTACTAAGCTTCAAGAAGCACTGAAACTTTGAAAAGTTTGGATTTAGTATATTGCATGTACTAATTAATTTCTCTCATTAATGTGTTACAGATTCAGCCCCATTTAGCTCTCCTTTCAATACATTCCTTACTCTGAATCCAGAAGAGTTGTGCCATAATGACAGATACTGCTCCAGCTTCTAGTTAGCTCTCAGTTATTATCTTTATTATCAATTATAGCAACTACTAGTTCAGTGAAGTGGTTAAGATACTGGATGAGACTGTGATTTTTAGTCTATTCCTTGACATGGAAGCCAGCTGGATGACTCTGTCATAGAATCATAGGGCTAAGAGGGATCTTGGAGGTCTTCTAGTCTAAATCCCAGCCCAAGGCAGGAGTCACTCTCTCTCAACTCAATGTACTTCCCCACAAGTGATAGTTGTGTGTGTCAAAGAGGTCATTCTGTGAGAATTGGTAAATCCTCTAAGTAAGATTAGTGTCAACATATCAATATTTTTTAGAAGTAAGCGATCCATGAAATCATTTGTTAGCAAGGATATAAATCTTATAGGGATTTGTACATTGTATCAAAAGAAAGCTTTGTGGAATAAAAAATACGCTGAATTTGAATAAAGAGTCCCTTCCTTCCTTCCTTCCTTCCTTCCTTCCTTCCTTCCTTCCTTCCT